TGTGCAGCATCAACATTTAACTTGTTAGTGACTGTATAATATTTAGATGATGACCGTGATATCATTGATTGATAAATAATCAAAATAATATAACATCAAATAATAAGATCTTTACATACTAGAAAGTTCATATGTGTGTTTGCTTTTTAACTTATTACAAGGTGGTCATTATCAATTAGATATAATTCAAATGTATGATAAAATAATTGTGATTAGAATGTGACTTTTTAATCTTTAATTAAGTAACAAGTTTTAAATATACAAAAGTAAACCGAACACTTTACATCATATGAGGGCAAAATGCTGATGATGAACTTTGTGACCGCCGTTAAAATTTTGTAGTTCGTCATGCTGCTGTCCATCAATAACTGTCAATTCAATTACAGCTGCTGTAAACTTATAAAGTAGATTATATATTTTTAATATTAAAATGGCTTCAAAAATCGTTTTAAATGCTGTGTTGCACTAAAGTTGCAACGAAGTTTGTCATATATTTCCTATTTTTGTATTAAAATTTAACCGGCCTCGACACTAGCCTTTTATGCAGCTGGTAATACAAACAATTTTGATATTTACTTGGTCGTTCTGGACGATATGTCGTCCTTCATTCGTCGTATTTTGTACTTAATGTTCTTTTTAAGACAAACATTCAGAGAAACATAACACTTACATTGTTGACGGAGATAAACAGCTGAAAAACAACAACAACAGCACAACATGCACACATACACACACTACAGTAACAAATATTTCTTAAAACATACATTTCATCTAATCAGAGACGTTGGGTTTCTACTATATAGTTATTAAGTATTCTGTTCCAATAAAAAACACAATTTTATGTCTTGAGTGACTTCATCCGTATACAAATAGTCTTCGGCGTACATTCTAATAGTAAATAAAATGCTGAATTTTCAATTTTTATCTTGAATAAGAATGGAGTAATGAGTTAAACATTTACAACATAAAGATAACGTTCATTGTAGGTTTTAGCATAATTGTTTTTTTATAAATTATATAACCTCCCTTTTGCTCGTTTGTTCGTATTCATTCTTTAAATAAAGTTTTTTTTAAATTTTAAAGAAATATTAAGTTTGGATAAATGTCTTTTTATATTTAAATACCCACATTTTACTTTACATTTTAGCAATTGAAGGATTTTACACCAATAAACATCAGTTTATACTCTGTTCAATTTTGAAAATATCATTATAGTGTTCAACCTTTCAAACATATATGAAATTTTCACCCTCTGCACCTTTCTTAATATAATTTATACATTTAGAAAATGTAAGTTCCCTCTGATTTCAGGACACAAAAAGGATATTTAAGTGCTTGGTTGCATCTGCAATTGTGCTTGAAGTTATACTTATGGCTCTTATCATAAAATGGTATGCTCTAAGACAAAGGCCAATGGAATCTACGCTATGTTTCAATGATGAGAGTCTAAAATCTGTTACATGGAAATCTGAAATTCTTCAGAATCTGACATTGGGATATGGCAAAGACACGAAACAGAAAGAGCATTGCTTTGAAACAGTTGAGGCGTTAAACGGTTTTGTTCGACAGGTAGGTGAAGATATGCTTTCGTGTTAGATTTTCAAAATTTTTGAATATTTTAGATAAAACGTCTTTGTTACAGGTTAACGATATCCAATGTATTACTAACTGCTTTTTCTAATTTGCTTTGATGTCTATTAGCAACTTATTGAACCTGCAATACGTTTATGTTTTAAAATTGCGTTTCGTAAACTGAACAAAGTTAGTAGATACTCCATGTTTTATCATTTTTTACTTACACAAATTTAAGCGTGTTCATGACGATCATGTAACATGAAGGTGATTAATATAGAAATTGAAAAGAAAAAAACCAATAAAAACAACCACCACCACACGCATGCAAGAGTTTTAATCTCTATTATAAAGTCATGGAACGGAAATTTGCTAAAACAACGTTTCCATACGCATTATGTTAATAGAATATATGCAATTCATAAAAATCAATATCAAATATTTTTATACTTGTATGGTATATTCTTCTTAAAGGGAGACACAGGCAAAATGTTCATTTCTTCGTTTTGAATTTTTCATTCACTAATCTGTAAATGTCCTCAAACTGAATACACTTGGCAATCACAGGAACAATTTTTTTTCCTTATAAGGATAAAATGGTGTTTTGTTTTAACTTGACCCACGTGGGTAAGGTTAGAGCGTAAATATTTCACATTTGTCGTCACAGTCACGTCACAGTGAACTCTGGAAACGTTAAAGTCGTCAAATGAATGAATTAGGTTTGTTTCAATCATACAATATCCACAATATCTGTTATTGTAACTTCCAGTTATTGTTCAAGTTAGTTTTAAAACAACTCGGTGATTCTGTCGGCGGCGATATTTCGTCCAACATATATAGATATATTTATGCTTCAAACCAAAAATAAATGGAATTTATACAGAAATTCATGCTGGGACTTTTACAAATGTCATTTTAGCGTGATTTGAGTAAATAAGATAGTTTATATCTTTGTAATTAATTCCTTTAAAGAGGCCTTTAATATGTCAAATCACCAAATCAAGCGAAGTTTCAAAGGTAATCACTTACATGGAAACAATTAACGGAAACATGTGGTAAGCAGTAACAAAAATTGTGCTTCTCACAGTAAGAAGCTCTCTTATACGGAATAATCGTACATTCACTTCGATAAGCGTTCAGGAATAAGACATATTTCTTCATCTTGGTTAACCAACATTCTAAAATAGCCGTTCAGAACGTTGCGATTTTATAAAAAAAAGAAGAAGAAATAAACCAACAAATTGCCTATTTCCTTTATACATATAAATATTGTAACTGATTGTAATTTAATTATCTTTTTACAGCTGATGATATTCAAGTTTGATACGGATATTAGTCCAGGTTCGTCATATCTTTACACTATATTTTAACACTTGATTATTTTCGTTATAATTTCTACTGTAAGTTTCAAATCTAGATCATGGTCGAAATTTTCGTTTGATTATAAATAATGAAACATCTCATAGCGTGTTTTACCAGTCGAAAAGTCGTACTTTTCTGCTAAAATCCTCGCACTAAGAGCTATGTGCTTTAATATCGATATTCCGGAGTCTTGGAAAACGGCCGCCTAATTGTTTTATAACATTATTGGACGTCTACTACTTTATTACACTTCTCAAACAATATGATTCAAAAACTAAGAAACAAGTAATAGAGTAGGTTAAGCCGATCTTATCATTACAAATTCACCACGATAAAAAACAAAAGAAAACATTTCTAAAGATCTATCTCTGATTTAAAAAAAATATTAATGCATTAAAGTTAGATTTTAGTGTATACAAAATTTATGTATTAACTTTTGACAAACAAGCAATTCTTGTACTTGGAAAACGGGTCACATACATCATAGTATACAGCATCAAAATGTTAATTTATGTGACATGCTATATTCGTGACAGAAGTATAATTAATTAAGTCAGTTAGTTATTTCCAATAAAGTCCAGCTGGAATGGATTAACCGAATATCAATCATAAAAAGAGCACCTTTGATACTGACGTAATCGTACGTAATATCATATCTTTTTTTAAGCATTTTGCTGATCAAAGATGTTAGAGCCGAATACCACATATATATCTATAACATTCACATCATTGCTGTGTATGACACTGTGCAGCCATTACATACATGTATAAATCTATTAATTTAAACAGAAACAAGTTTGTGAGTGTACAGATTAATGTTCCTCTTCATAAACTATGTGCGTCCAGTATCGATAGCATAATCATTTAGCAATCTTTAATGGCGAAGAGATTAAACACATGCATTTACAATGAAAATTACATAACTACGTGATTTACTTTTAATCATAAGAATGGATTAATATTTCTTATCAAAACATATCAATTGTTTATTGCTAAGCAATATAAATGCATTGCCACGAGGCACTCTGTCTTAGTAAGATTTCAATATACAACATGTCCTTTGAGCGGCAAACAGGAAGACACGTTTTTGAATGGGGATATTACTAGTAGTGTCCAAATTTCGTCTTTGATCTCGACAACGTGACATCAATTATAGTACCGCGAAAATGTACAGTGTTCGCGCTATACAAATATTCGGAAAAAGGAAGTCACGAAAGCCAATGCATGGCATTTTTTACGATTAAGTTTTATTACGCCATATCCATTTAAAGACCATAAACTTAAACTTTAGTCCTAACCACAAACCCTCCGGAAAATATTCAAAAGCTTTTTAAAGCCACAGCAAACCAAACAATAACACTTTGACATACTTATTATCACGTATGTCATAGAAATAACCGAAATGCTATTTAAATTACTAAAAACTTTTACAGAAAAAACACACATAAAAAGAAAAAAATACCCGGTGAATTCAGTTTTGATTTCGGTATTTTTACATCACACTCGTAAATGAAAAAAAAATCACTCTGAAATTCCGCTGAAAGTAATGTCTTATCACTAAGGTTTTTGTTCTTTTTCAAACATGTTTGATACTTTCATTTCTATTAGACTAAGTATAATCCGTCCTGCGATATACGTAGTTAGTAAATGATTTTGAAGAAGTCCTTTTTCGTAACAACTGAAGATTTTAAAAATAAAACTTATTGTTAATAGTACAATAATAAGAATTTTGAATTTATATAATTCCCCTTTTTGTCAATATTACAGAACATCGAACGATTAACTTTACCATCTTTAACAAAACAGTATCAACAGAATTACCTGCTTTATTGCACCTCAATGACATAAAGACGGATGAAACTTCAGGTTTGTTAATATGTATATTTTTCTTTTTGTAAACGTTTAACGATAAATTTTATTTAAGAAAATCAATACTTTGCAGTTGCTGTCAAATCAATCTAGGATTTTAAATAGAATGATATACCTATTTGAATTTGTTTGTGTTTGGTTTGTTTTTCAGTAAAACAAGACAAACAATCAAAGTTATTTTGGAAATCTGCCATAACGCAAGGAGATGGACTCGACTATTTTGAGGAAGAGGGAGTTATTGATATACAGAAGTCAGGATACTATCATGTCACTACACATTTGACAGTCATGAAAGATAGCAAAACCATTTCAGCCGATGATGAACTAGCTTCACATCAGGTTATCCGCATCTCAGATAAAACAGATAAAGAATCAGTTTTACTAGAAAACATTAGCGCCCAATGTCATATGGCTGTCAACCAATATGAACAAACAAGTTACATGGCTGCAGCTTTTAAACTTGAGAAAAGCGATAGGATTTTTGTGACCTTCTCTCACCCGTACAAAATTGTATCTGGTAATGGAGGACATTATTTCAGTATTGTTGAGATATAAATATTTTGCCTTTGTTATTAATACATATCTCAAAGTAACTATATTGTATATACTAATAGCATGATAACATGATCGAACTATGCACATTTTAATTGAATGTGTTTAATTTAGTTATCATTAACGAAAACAGGAAAAACGGATGAGGACATGTCAAATGCCTGTTATATTAACAGTCTTGTTACATGGCTGCAGCTTTGAAAACAAATGAAAATAACGATTGGACGGAAACATTTTGAGACTAACAGTCAGGTTTAATCATTAAAGTTTTTACAGCATTGCTTATGTTGATGACTGTTCCAAGGCGGCGACCTCTCTGTTTTTTAAGATGTATATCATGTGTATTGCTACATGCTTTTTGTATTAACACTGTTTTTATTTCTCCGTGTATTTTTTCGTCCGCGTCCCAAAATGTTTCAAAAGTTTGCCCGCCCTCTACTCCATGTTCACATATCCTACACCGTTGTCATTAAATTGCCTCGCTCTTGTGTCCTCTCCTGTTTGGTTTTGTACTTTGTATTTGATAGAACATATTTTGACGATGGTTATATTTCAAATTTATTACTACAATATTTTTTGTTTTACTTTGATACGGATAACGGTATCCATTCGGAATATTTAAATATAACGGCTATACAACAAAATCCCTATGTTATAAATATCATTTTTTGAGGCAAATATATCAAATCAATTTCGGTAAACATCACATTAGAAATAGGCATTCAAAATACAGTTTGTGAAGACTGAACGAAAGGAAAACATTTGAAGAGAATTCGAACATTTGAGGAATCAGCCAGACACCAAATTGATAATAATTAATATATGATGATCAGTTCAGCTAATCTTACTAAACAAACACAAATACAGATACTGTAAAACATGTTGATATTTCAGAGAAGCAGAAAAAGAAAACAAAATGCTGCATAATGAAAACAGAATGTTAGAAAAAGACAAAGACACTTTGGAAAAGAAATAATTCTCGTGAAATATCAAAAGATCTAGAGGCTTAATATGAAAAACAAAATAACTGATATTTCAGGGGTTGATTTTTAGTATAAACAGCATTCATTCTTTAGCGTAACGTTATAACTAACCTGATATTATTTTCATTTTGATTTTAATATTTTGATTTTAAATTTCTTGTACAGCACTTAGCGAGAAATTCAGACGATACATGCGATGAGCGTACGGAACCTTTTGACAAAGATAAACCATAATATCGTTTGACGGTGATGAAACTTCATGAGAAATAAATTCTTTATATTAAATTGCAGATGAACATGACTGATCTGATAGTGTTAAACATATTAAACCCATTGTGAGATGTATAATTAAAATGCTAGCCAAAAAGAAATATCCCGTTTTGAATCAGTCGTCAGTTACACGTTTTCATTTAATGCAAATTTTTGTATCATTTGATTATTTTCTCTCATAACATTTTGAAAGGAAATAATACATCCCAGGATGATCAAATTTAAATGGTCGTTTATACTTATTTATGTACAAACCATGCACATATATCATGTATATAAAATTTAGTTTGACAATGAGTGAGAAACAATGTTTCTTTATTCCAAAAAGTAAAGGATGCAATAAGTAAACTACGAAATAACTTTAACATGATAATGTATAAACAATATTAATATAAACAGTATTCAAGATTGTGATTAAATTGTGATTCAATGAGAGGTATCATAAATTTAGATTACTTGAGAAGTATCAGAGCATAAAAAATATAAGATAATTAAAAAGGGGTATTGCAAATTTGTTGTGTTTCACACTCATTGTGACAAAAAGCAATAATCTCTGCTTAAATGAATCTGAGGTCTAAACCCTTTTTAAACTATGACAATCCCATCAGGTACTATAAGGAACTAAACAATTGACAGCATAGGTCAGATATATACCTTAAAGGACACCTGTATGCAAAATTAAAAAAGAACTTCACCGTACGGTAATCAAGTTATGGCCACGTTTCCTTATTTAAGTTTGGATGCTAGAAGGACCGTTTTTAGAAATAAGGATCCCTTAGATAATCTACAATTTCATTTTTATGAAACATGTTTTCCCATTATATTTTGATTATAAACGATATGTAACATTCAGCTTACAATCCACGCAAGCAAAATTATTGTTTCTAATCAAAATTTACGAAATATGTATAAAAATATCACCCTACCCACCCTTTTTAATACGTGTTTGACCAGTATCCTACTTTGAGAGTCTAATTAAATAATCCCTTAAATTTACTATTATGAGTGCCTTTTTTCAAAATTTCCCTATTTTTTTCAAATTAAAAAGTATATTGGATGATCTTGTTAAATATTAAAAACTTTTACCGCCTGATTTTGTTTTGACTGTACTTTGAAAATATGTTACAATATTTAGCATTATTTAGCCAATAAATACCTATATTAATTAAATAATTAAAATAAAACACTTTTTTTTCTTCCCAAGACGTATATGAGACAAAAAATAATGTTAAAAGGAAAAAAAAAAGAGAAAAAATTACTCTTCTTGGGGTTGAACCCATAGTCTTCTAGCCTATTTGAATACTCTTCAAAGCGGAGGTATTGCAAAATGATGGTCATACCTTAAATGTATTTCTGCTATTAACGTCATAAAACTGTGATAAGCCTTATACATGCACATGCAATATTTACATTGCAATCTACCTTAATTAACTTAGCCATGAGAAGTTTTAACGAAATTAAAAGTTAGTAGTGTTAAAAACAACTATATTGTATTTCATTGGTTTTCTTAGATTTTCTTTGCCGATGTACGTTTGAAAGACATTTTGATTTTCTATTTTTTTTCATAGACATTTTTGTTCTCAGCATTGTTTTCAGAGAAGGTTGTTAATCAAATGTCTACAAATTATATAATTATGTCAAAAAGCATACACCTTATATTCCAAAAACGAATTTATCTGTTGGACAGAATTACTAAACCCGTGCTCAAGTCTAAATTTTTTTCATAAGAAAGCATGTTTCCTTATTTGACCTCTTGAATTATATTGTATATGCTCGATTGTGTTTAAATTTGAAGAAGTAGATTCAAATTGTAGGGATTGAATGGCAAAACACAAAAAGAGGTACCCGCAGTGAAGATGCGGGTCAAACGACGTTCCGTTCCAGCTGGTCATTGCTTCAGAATGTACTTTTATAACAACATGATGTGAATAATATCGTAAAGCAGGTCCTGGTCGCCATTTCAATAATTTAGAAAAAAAAAAAACATTGTCGGTCAAACTTTTCATAAACGTTTAATTTATTATAAATTAAGTTAATGATAAGCAAACAAAGTGAAATTCTGTCTTAGATGAGCCAATTTAATTTATATTCATACGCAATTCATAAAGCATTTTTACCCCACTTCGTTGAAATGAGTTCTGAACTTGCAAAAAGGCCCAGAGCTTATATTTATATTTATGTAAATGAGTAGCCACTGTGTCACATTAACATGTGTACTCGTATACTCCTATGTGGTATCTAGTTTCTTTACCCTTTTTAAGCAAACGAAATACAAGATTGATATAAAAGCTTACACTGTGGAAATATAAACCTATTAATGGTTTCGATATAAGTCGGATAAAGTTATCTTTTCGTAGAAAACATTTAATTTGTGCTTAATCATTTTCGGAGTTAAGTTGTAATCAAGGTTTAGGAGTTTGCCAAATACTCTAAACTATAAAAACTTATATACAAGGGTGCATCAATACATTCGTAAACTAATTCAATAGCGGGGAAATGATTCCATTCAAGTACCTAAAATGATAACTCCTTCTCAAAGCAACGTACCATGCAGACCTTGTCCAATCTCTCGACCAATGACTCGGCCACGTGATGTAGCCCGTCACGAGACATCTCCCGAGGCTGTCTGTCCACGGTACACCTCAGTTCTTCTCTTTACTCAAATTTCAAATTTGTACCACGAAGACTGTTTTTGAAAGTTTGAAACTGCCAGAAGACACAAATTGATAGGTCCTGGCTGTAGGGTGGGTACAGTAACAGTTCGACGTCGACTTTTTCGAGTGTATCCATGACAACGTGACTTGAATGGCTCGGCGCGTTGTCGTAATGTAATATAAATCCGGACCTAAGTAGATGTTGGCGCTTTCTCCTTATTGCCGCCACGAGTTCCGTTCTAAGTAATTGTGCATAATAGTTCCCAGTCACTATCGTTTTCGAAGGAACAAAGTGGTTTAGCACTACCCCGTATGTATCACAGAATATAATGGCCATAACCTTCCCGGCTGACTTGGAAATTATCGCTTTTGAAGGGGAAGGCGAGGAAGGATGCTTCCAGACAGAACTCTGGTTAAAAAAGTGAATCCACATCCATCACATGTAATTACTCTTTTTAGACAGTAATCGCCTTCTTCACGATACCTCCTGTAGTACTTCTGACACTAAATTAATTTTTACAGGTTCATTTGATTTGGAAACTGGTGTGATTTGAATATCAATGGATATTAACGAATTCATATTATAAGTGAAAACCTTAACCCTTTTGTCATAATTATATGTAATAGCCTGTAATTTAAACTCACACTTGTATATGACTGAGTACGGGATGAACTATTACACACCATTTGTTATTTTCTTTGTACAGATTCGAAAGAAAGGGTGAAACGTAATAAATCTGTTTCTATACATTAGAGATAGCGCTACTTCAGAAAAGAAGACAACAAAATGGGATTAATGACAGAAACTCTTGTCTTCACGAGAAACAAATGTGACTACTTGATGTAAGAACCGTTTCCCATCACGAAATACTACTGTAACATCTGTTACTTATTTCAAAATATTAAGTGTCCGTCGTATTTCATTATTGCGCATAAGAAATTATTTGTGTGTTTCATTGTTTATTTGGTTACATACTTAAAAACGAAATCTTCTTATGATAAAAAAAATAAAAAAGACTAAACAACAAGATGACAAAGTGAACATTAAATGAATTGCTTTGACAACTATGAAAAAATGATTTTGAAATTGATTTTTTACAAATTCTATTGCATCGAAAATCATTTTCTTTCCAGGCCAATGATATTTTAAAAACAATAAAATATTACCGGCATTATTTAAACAATGATTACAATTTTGTACTGCTGGTAAATGAGCGTTTGAGAGAACTATCAATTAAAAAAAAACCTTATTCAATGACTTTTATCAAGTTAACAGATCAGTAAAATTACCCACAAGCTTGGCATGCTTAAAAATAAAAGGCATTTCCCTCACAATAACAGCCATATTTCTCTTAACTTTTCACGATGTCGTAGTCTCGGATTTGCTAAGCAGAACGGTGCAGTATAAAACATATAATTGATAATGACAAACACGACAACATAATTGCGTAGCTGCACATTCCAAAACATTCATACATAATGTATGGAGGAAAATTGTACTTTATTTTTCTACTAAATGTCATTATATGATCTACAAGTTACAATTATAACAAAGATGAGAAGCTTTAACATTATTTCACCATAATGATTGTAATGTGAATAAT